ATTGTGCATAGTGTTAAAATTTACCAGAACTTGTAGAGGGGGGGTCCAGATTGCTGCTATATATTTGTTGAGAAGAGTAGGAGAAAGACAAAAAAAAAAATGTATCCTGTAGTCAAGACTACACATCTTACTCTTGTACTCTTTGAACAGCAAGCTGTCTGGCTGCTAAAAGAGCATGGAGGTGGCATATTCTGACCTCCTCTAATTCCACAAGAGGAAGACAGAATCACCATCAGCAGCCCAAGGCCTATTCTTATGAAGCCACACATGCCACCACCCTTCCCTCCACTTACCATCCTTGACAGCAACTGCCCCTCTCACAGCACCCACCACCCCTCTGCTGGGATTGGTAATTTGCTGCAGTGGCCACACAGAAGTCACAGATTATGGGGTTTAATAGGGAAGCAACAGGCTACAATTCAAATTCAGGAATATGCTCAGTGTCTCTCATCTGGCAGTCTCTCTTTCAGCAGTGTGCCTCTCTTAGCCGACAGTGAGAGATACTCCTTTTCTGCCTTTGTTGTTATATTCTGTCGAGTCAGACCCGACTCATAGCAACCCCTCCTTGGGTTTCAAGGCCGTATCACTATGGAAGTAGATTTCCCAACCTTCCTTCCGAGGAGTGGCTGGTGGGTTTGAACTGCCAGCCTTCTGGTTAGCAGTCAAGTGCCTTAGGCACTATGCTACCAGAGCTCCTAAAGAGACAGCCTGGTTTACCTGGTGGGGAGCAGCTGGTGGGTTTGAACCGCCAGCCTTGTGCTTGGCAGGCAACTGCCTTAGGCCCCAAGGCCATCCCCTACGGACATTTTAAGCCTGGCAGAGTGGCAAAACTAACCAATCTCAACATCAGAGTTCTACACATTTGAGAGAGAGGGAGAGAGTGAACTTTTCCAGAAGATTACTTCATGCTGCCCTGGGTGGATGACTTTAACAAGCAGCTAACTCAGTTGCTCACAGCAAAGTGCAAGTTACAAAGGCTATGGCTAGAAAAGTCATACCATGTAATTTACTACTCCACATTGGCCAAATGAAAAATATAGTCCATTTTCTGCTTACTTTCTAGGTGAAAGAACCACAAAGCTTCTCAATCCATTTTTCCTTCTCTCTGTACTCTCTAATATAACTCGTAGATTTAAATCTGAAGGAGTTTTATGAAGAACTACCTTTATGTTCTTTATAACATAATATTAGGGTGTGAAAAACAATTGCTTCTTTATATTTAATAAAACCAAACCTATCTTGATTTGTTGACCTGATGTTGTTAGTTGCTGTTGTTTCCAACTTACGGTGACACCACGTATGCGGAAAAGAACTGCTTCATAAGCTGTTGACCTTTTGGAAATAGATTATCAGGTCTACCTTCTGAGGTGCCTCTGGATGGATTTGAACTACCATCCTTTAGCTAGTAGTCAAACAGTTAACCATTTGTGCTACCCAGGGACTCATTGACTTGATATTATATAGTAAAATATTTCATAGAAATACCATACACACATACACACACAAAGGATTGTCAATAGCAATTATTGATAGCAGCAGTTGTTGGTAACAACAGTTATTTAGATATATGTGTGTATTTGTGTGTGTATGTGAGAGAAAGATGTGGTAGTCTCCTTCCATAAAGATTTCAGCTTTGGAAACCCTATGGGATAGTTCTAACATGTCCTAAAAGGTCACTATGAGTTGGACTTGACTTAATGGCAGTGGGTTTGGCTTGAGTTTATATATTTTATATATATGCATATATATAAAATCTTCTATTGTTATCTGCCCCATGTGCAACAGAACAAAAATGTTCCTGGTGTTGCATCATCTTCATGATTGTTGGAACACTTGAGTTCATTGTTGGGGTTACTCTGTATTTTGAGTGGCTTTCAACATAGAGGGCTCATCTTGCAGCTTTATATCAAACAATATTCTGTTGTGACCCATAGGATTTTCGCTGGCTAATTTTCCTCTCTTCAATTTTGCTAAAACTTGTCTACCATGGGTATCACTACTGGTATTTGAAATACTAATGGCATAGTTTCCAGTGTCATAGCAGTGTGCAAGTCACCATCATATAACAAACTGACAGATGGGTGGTCAATGAATATATAGAGAGAGTTACAGAATATTAAAGTATTGGTAAACTTTCCTTTTCAGAGTCTTATATTATCATATGGAAAGAAAGAAAACGTTTTATGTGTCCTTTGGACAGTTGTTGTTATTGTTATTGTTAGGTGCCATTGAGTCATGTCCCACTCATAGTGACCCTGTGCACACCAGAATGAAACACTGGTTGGTCCTTTGCCAGCCTCACAATCCTTGCTATACCTGAGCCCATCATTGCAGCCACTGTGTCGATCCATCTCATTGAGGGCCTTCCCCTTTTTCGTTGACTCTCCATTTTACCAAGCAGGATGTCCTTCTCCAAGGAATGGTCCCTTCTGACAACATGACCAAATAGGTGAGATGAACTCTGGCCATTCTCACTTCCAAGGAGCATTCCAGCTCCACTTCTTCCATGACAGATTTGTTAGTCCTTTGAGCAGTCCGTAATACTCCCAGAATTCTTCTCCAACACTACTACTCAAAAGCATCAACTCTTCTTTGATCTTCTTTATTCATTGTCCAGCTCTCCCATGCATAAGAGGCAATTGAAAATACCCTGGCTTGGGTTAGGCGCACCTTAGTCTTCCAGGAGACATCTTTGCTCTTCATCACTTGAAAGAGATCTTTTGTAGCAGATTTGCCCAATGCAATGTGTTGTCTGATGTCTTGACTCCTGTTTCCATTGGTGATGATTGTAGAACCAAGTAATATGAAGTCCTTGACAACTTCAAACTTTTCTCCATTTATCGTGAAGCTGTTATTGGACCAGTTGTTAGGATTTTTGTTTTCTTTATATTGAGGTGTAATGGCTACTGCAGACTCAAGTCATCCTCACTTTCAGCAAGCAAAGTTGTGTCATCGGCATATCGCAGGTTGTAAATGAGTCTTCCTCTAATCCTGATGTCACATTCTTCTTCATATAATCCAGCTTTTTGGATTATTTGCTCAGCATGCAAATTGAATAAATATGGTGGAAGGATACAACTTTGACTCACTCCCTTCTTGATTTTAAACCATGCAGTATCCCCTTGTTCCGTTTGAATGACACCCTCCTGATCTATTTACAGGTTCCTCTTGAGTACAATCAAGTGTTCTGGAATTTCCATTCCTCTCAATGTTATCCATAATTTTTTATGATCCACACAACTAAATGCTTTTGCATAGTCAAACACATAAGTAAACATTTTTACGGTATTCTTTGCTTTCAGCTAATATCCATCTCACATCAGCAGTGATATCCCTCATTCTGTGTCCTTTTGAATCCAGCTTGCATTTCTGGAAGCTCTCTGTCCATATACTGCTGCAACCATTTTTTAATTATCTTCAGTGAGATTTTACGTACATGTAATATTAATGATATTGTTCAATAATTTACACATTCTGTGGAAATTTGGAATGGGTACAGGTCTGGATCTCTTCCAGTCAGTTGGCCAGGTAGCTGTCTTCCAAATCGCTTGGCATAGCTGAGTGAGTGCCTTCAGCATGGCATCTGTTTGTTGAAACATCTCAGTGGGAATTCTGTCACTTCCTGGAGCCTTGTTCTTCACCAATTCCTTTAGTGCAGCTTTGACTTCTTCCTCCAATACCATTGGTTCTTGATCTCCTGAAGTGGATGAACATCAACCATTTAGTTTTGGGAAAGAGACTCTGTGTATTCCTTCCATCTTCTTTTGATGTTTCCTGCATCATTCAATATATTGACTGTAGAATCTTTCATTATTGTAACTCGAGGCTTAAATTTCCTCTTCAGTTCTTTCAGCTTGAGAAATGCTAAGTGTGTTCTTCCCTTTTGGGTTTCCAACTCCATGTCTTTGTACATTTCATTATAATAATTGACTTTGTCTTCTCGACCTGGTCTTTGAAGTCTTCTGTTTAGCTCTTTTATCTTGTCATTTCTTCCATTTGCTTTGGCTACTCTCCACTCAAGGGCAAACTTCAGAGTCTCTTTTGTCATCCATTTTGGTCTTTTCTTTTTTTCTCATCTTTTTAAAGACCTCTTGCTTTCTTCATGGATGGTATTCTTGATGTCATCCACAATTCCTCTGGTTTTCAGTCATTGGTGTTCAGTACATCAAATCTGTTCTTCAGATGGTCTCTAAATTCAGGAAGGATATATTTAAGGTCATATTTTGGCTCTCGTGGACTTGTTTTAATTGTCTTCAACTTCAGCTTGAACTTGCATATGAGCACTTGATGGTCTGTTCCACCATCAGCTCCTGGCCTTGTTTGGCTGAAGATACTGAACTTCTTCATTGCCTCTTGCCACAGATATGGTCGATCTGGTTCCTGTGTACTCCATCTGGCCAAGCTGTTGTTTGTGTTGTTGAAAAAAAAAATGTATTTGCAGTGAATAAGTCGTTGGTCATGCAAAATTCTATCATGCAATCTTCCATGTTATTTCTATCACCAAGGACGTATTTCCCAACTATCAGTAACTTTTCTTTGTTTCCAACTTTTGCATTCCAGTCACTGGTGATAATCAACACATTTTGATTGCATGTTCAGTCCATTTCAGACTGCAGACTCTGGAGAGTACATTTATAAAATTAGTTTGATAAATGTATATCTTAAAAAATTCTTGGCAAATTAATACTAAATGCTAAGTGGATACTTTTGTTCTGTCCTTAGGCATGGAAGAGGAGATGGTTTGTGTTACGCAGTGGCCGTTTAACTGGAGATCCAGATGTATTGGAATACTACAAAAATGATCATGCCAAGAAGCCTATTCGTATCATTGATTTAAATTTATGTCAACAAGTTGATGCTGGATTGACATTTAACAAAAAAGAGTTTGAAAACAGCTACATTTTTGATATTAACACTATTGACCGGATTTTCTACTTGGTAGCAGACAGTGAAGAGGAGATGAATAAGTGGGTTCGTTGTATTTGTGACATCTGTGGGTTTAATCCTACAGAAGAAGGTAAGTTTGATTTTCTTATTCAATCTGAGTAGTCCTTTATTGCTACAATTTTTAGAACTGTCATAAAGTTCTTTGTTATTTCAGCCACATGATACAATGCTTTGTTTTGTTTTCACAATAGTAACTTAAGGAGCTCTGGTAGCATAGTGTCTAAGTCACTTGCCTGCTAACCAGACGGCTGGCGGTTCAAACCCACCAGCCACTCCTCGGAAGGAAGGTTGGGCAATCCTACTTCCTTAGTGATACTGCCTCGAAAACCCAAGGAGGGGTCGCTATGAGTCGGGGCCGACTCGACGGCACATAACAACAACAACAACAGCAACTTAACATTTGGAAAAAAGCACTAGATTCTTTTTTAAAATTCAGTTTGAAAAGAAACTTTTTTTATAGGTATAGAAACAGTGGAACAGGGTGTAAATAACTGGGAGAGGTACCAAAAATTAAGACCATTCATTGAGTTCCTATGTAAATATTAAGTTAAATACATTGAAACCTGTGAGAGCTGGAACTCAACAGAACCACCTGTTTTTCTGGGTCTCTCAAGTTTTCTGCCTTTGACAGGGTACAGGCTTGCCAATTTTCCTACTGCTTTTTGTGGAAAATATTTTAGTTTTCATTTTCTGACAGAGTTGTGCTTTATACAGGCTTTCACAGGTTTTACTAAAATACAAGACTGCTGGTTCGTTGCCTCAGAGTTGGGCATAGGGTATTATTTCAAATTTCAGTTAAACTCCCTTTCTTGTCTTGCATATGTAGTTTATATTTGAGTTCAATGGAGGATTTAAAGTTGAAGTTTCAGATGAGATAGTTCTCTTTTTAATATATATTTAACAACTAATCAGAAATAATATTTATTGAATTTAGATACTACATTAGTTTTGTCATATGATGGGTTAAAATAATTTTAGTCTTCTTTGTAATCTTTTTTTGTTTTTTCCCCTTTCCTTTTTTGCTTGCTACTTTGGCAATTTAGAATTTGGTCTGGGGGAAGTAAAGTCAGACGTCTGTCTTTGTTGGTTGCCTGTATAAATTTAGCTGATCTAAAAGCCTAAGTAGATGTTCCTCTATCTCTCTTCATTCTTCTTCTATTTCTCCAAAATATGTATTTTTTAATTTTATTGTCATTTGAGTGAAAGTTTACAGAGCAAATTCATCTTCCATCTGACATTTCACATACACTTTGTCTCATGACATTGACTGCAGTCTCCCACAATGCAACACCTCTCCTCCCACTTCTTCCCCATAGTCACATCTTCCCTGTGTCCTTCTCTCCCATGCATTCCTGCCCCTCGAGCTGTCTTCCTGTGCATACACACATCTTCTATTCTCCCATGATTGATCTCTTTAAGGAGTGTTATCTACCCAGTATAAATGTTCAGCTCATATGCGTGTCCTTTGTTTGTATTTCTCCAAAATATTTTTTAATGAAGAAATGAGATTTCCTCTCAGAAGACATATAGTCTTCAGTCAAGGAATACGAGTGTCTAATTTTTGGAAGCCCATTGAGGTGTAGGTAGAGTTGAGAACTCCAGAGATAAGAAGTGTTTATGTTTAGATAAGGATTTTATATTTTCAAATTTTCTTTATGTACAGTGTAGAAAAAAATGAACATAATTTGTAATATTGCCACCAAACTAATCTGTGCATATATAGTAAGTTTTTTAATGGGAATATATTATAAACAGTTTGAAATCTGTGGGTTCCCCCCCCCCCCAATAAACCACATATTATAAACATCTTTTCAGGGCATTAAATATTCCTCTACAATAGCACTTTTGGTGGTTGTATATTATCTCATCATATGGATGTATCATAGTTTATTTAACTTATTGATGCATGTTTAGATTGCTTAAATTTTTAAATTACTTTTTTAAAGACTGGAATAAAAATCTTACATTCTTTGTCCATGTGCTTGGGATGTCAACACAATCAAAATCCAATTGTCTTATTTGAACCTGATTTTTGATGATTTTAGTGTTTAGCAACCTGCAACACAAAGACAAAACTCTACTAAACTAATATCCAAGGGTAAGTAAAGAGACAGAATGAAAAGGAGAGCTTGTCAGGAGCATAGTTGCTTTTCCCACTGCCAAGCATAACTGCCCCTTAGCTTGGTTTGTTCTTACTTCTGTGCCTTTTTTCAGTACTTGGAGCTCTGTAGCTAAAGAAAGGCTTTGTAAACCCTTAGGAGAGAAAGAGAAATGTTAATTTGTAGCAGCTTGTGATAAGTTAAAAAATACAGAGACACTTTCTTATTCTTCAGCTTGAAAAAGAAAGAAGATAAACACATCTTTTAACAGACCTTCAGATTTGTAATGTGTAAGTGTCCCAGATTAATTTTGCAAATTTTAAGGCATAAAGTCTGCTGGACCATTTGGCCACCTAAGAATGATTCTTATCATTTGGGTGCTTATCAAGTGGGCTGTGGGAAGAAGAAAAGCTTAGTCAGCTTTAGTAGAGTGATTCATTAGTTCAGCAAATTGAGTTTAGCAGGTACTCTGATAGGCTTTGGACATTCATTCAGCAAATATACATTAGGTGGCTAATTGGAGAGACAAATGGAAAACATTTCAAATATGGAATTGAGCATCTAGGGGAGAACATTTATTAAAAAGCAGTACCCAGTAATTCATTACAGTTGTTGATGAGTGGATGTAATATATATAATTTTTTAAAAGCATCATATTTTGTGAGTTCTTATCCTCATAGTGCTTACAATCAGTCTAGTTGGAGAGAGAGACAAATAATCTAGGAACTAGAACACTATTTGGGAGCTCTGGTGGTGGTATGCCTAAGGCATGTGACTGCTAACCAGAAGGCTGACAGTTCAAACCCACCACCCACTCCTTGGAAGGAAGATTGGGCAATATACTTCCATAGTGATACTGCCTCAGAAACCCAAGGAGGGGGTCGATAAGAGTTGGATCCGACTCCATGGCAGTGTGTTTGATTTTTTTTTTTTTTTGGTATAATACTATTTGCTAAGTACTCTGCTAGAGAAAGAATAAATAAGCATAGATAGCAGCACCTGATTTAGCCTTAAGAGAGAGTGACTGATAATGTACTAAGAGCTTTATTTTTGTGCTTAGATGAGAATTTTGGTTGATTTTAGTATTCAGAATCAGTCTGTCATGATGTCTTTTTTTACTTTATAAACCTACCAGAATTAAAAAAACAAAAACAAAACACCGTTGCTGACTGTCAAGTTGATTGTGACTCATAGTAACCCCACAAAACGGTAGAAATGGCCCATGGGGTTTCCAAAGTTATATGTCTTTATGGAATGTGATCCTCAGCCTATATGACCATGAGACCAGAAGAACTAGTTAGTGCCCGGCTACAACTGCCAACCACTCGGAGGGGGATCGGTACAGGAGATCCTGGATAGAGTGGGAGAACAATGTGGAACAAAACTCAAAATCATTTAAAAAAACAAAACAAAACAGGTTTCCTGGTCTGATAGAACCTGGTGAGACCCCTAAGACTATGTCCCCTAGCCACCCATCTGGAATTGAACTCACTCCTGTACCTTCCAGCCAAACAATAGACAGGCATATGGGGTGAACATTTCCATCAGGTAGATACAATCCATGGAGCAATCAGTCATGGGAGAATAGAAGAGCAGTATTTGCAGAGGGAGACAGCTCAGGGGGCAGGAGTGCATGGGGAGGGAAGGACACAGGGAAGAGGTAACTCCAGGGAGGAGGTGGGAAGACAGCTGTTACATTGTGGGGAATTGCAGTCAATGTCATGAGACAAAATGTGTATGAACTGCTGTATGAAAAATGAATTTGCTCTGTAAATTTTCACTGAAATCACAATAACAGTTTAAAAAAAAAAAAAAAAACAGCGATCTTTATGGAAACAACTCTGCCACATCTTCTGCGGAGCAGCTGGTGGGTTCAAACTGCCAGCCTTTTGTTTAGCAGCTGAACACTTTAAACACTGTGCCACCAAAGATCCTACCTACCAGAATAGGAAAGAATAAATCTTCAAAACATGAAAGCTGCAGTGATCTTTTCCATGGTAAAACTCACAGGTCATTATAAAACAGATTAGAAATATATTTGGGTTGAATGAAACTCAATTTGTGAATTCCTTATCTCCATCAGAGAGGTTTGTAAGAAAAGTAATAGTGTGATGAACAAAGTTTGATACACATGATCTATGAGTTGGTTACCTAGAACAATTGTGTTAATCATGAGTCATTTTTATCTGTTTATTAAAATAACCTCCTAAGAATTTTAATATGCCAGTGGTTTCTAAATTTAGTTTATGCAACTACATTTGTTTTTAAACTTCCACGATTTAAAATTTTCACAAATTCATTTTGGCCATCTCCCCCAGATATCTATAATTTAAAATGTTCTTACTATATTAGGTTGAAGACCTCAGTTTCTTAGAATGAATCTGCAAGAGTTGAGCAATCTTTAATTATTTATTACCAAGGAGCCAAAAAATATTTTATTGTACTCTGTCGTTTTGGTTTTTGATGCATAGTATCAAAACTGCAAAAAGACTTGTAAAACTAACCACTGTATTTTCTTATACATTTGTAATAGGTGACTTCACTAGATGCCTTTTTAAAATTTGTGTTTAAAGATTTGTTTTTAGAATTCTAAACAGTGTAAGACTGCTATTATCCTTTGTAATCATGTTCATACAGTTTAATATGACAAGATGAATATCAGAATGTCTTTGTTCTTCCATTAACTTTACTACTGTTTTGTGTTCTTTTACTTCCAAATAGATTTTACTGCCAATCACTAAATAATATTTTTGTTTTTATCAAGATCTGCCCCTTGAGTCCTGTGTTCCTCCCATTTCTGAGAGCTGAATAGGCTCCCAGATTTGTCTTGAAAATTGGCTAATAACACAAGATGACTTTTTACTGTACCACTTTCAGGCTAGAAGTGGGAAGAAATAACTATGCTTGGATATCACAGTCTGAGAAAATAACTATCCCAGTCCCTGTGAGAATAGCTAATTTTCTCTTGGAA